AAAGGCTCTAAATTTGTTGTACTGTGTAATAATGCATGTGTGTACATATATACATACCTCCGAGTTTGCAACGAGTCATTCAGAAATGCCATTTGTGCCGAGTGCGGAAAATATTTTTTCTCTCCACTTGACCCACTCCTAGTACCGAATTCTTTCCACTTACTGTAACGGTACCGTAAGGAACTCCATCGCTTTCCTATGGCTTTTATATTCTCTTGAGAAACCACAAGACCTTTATAAAAAAAATTAGATGGAATATGCCTATGTCGGTGTATACATTTATCTTTTACCAAGTTCTCCAAGAACTTCTTGCCAAGCCTTGTTTCGCAACGTTTGATTCCTGTAGGAATTTTGGCGGATGTCCCATAAACTAGGCCGAGAACGAACGGCTTCTATAAATAAGCCTAACGAAATTGGAAATATCAACAGATGTATAGATATAAATACTTAGAAAAAGTGTTAGCTTACCATTGTCTTGAAAATGTAAATTCTCTGCTGTATCCATCTGAAACAAACTATGTATTATCACAAAACAAAATACTGATTTTTAATCAGAGATATACATATGTTTTTGAACTAACGTTTGTTCTGCTATCGATCACAGCAAGGCACATTAAACAGGTAGTATCAGTAGAGCAAAAACAACATTTGCGTGTATTTTGTTGTTGCTTCTGGTATCGAAAGTGTCAAAAACTGTTCTGAATTTTTTCTTCTAAATTAAAGCGTGCCATGTGAAATACAAAAAATTATAAAAAATAAAAAATTTAAATTGGAAAAAATAAAAATTGTTGCAACTTTCTTTCATAGTAAATTTGTTTGTTTCTCGAAGCATTGATCCATCCTTTACAAGGGCCAGTAATCAGCGGTTGTGCTGCTGAGTTGGGCGAACGTTCCAAAAGCTGCTATTCAATCGCTTCTTTTGTATGGAAAAAGGTTTCACATGCAAATGGATTTTAAAAATTCAGAATTTTTGTGAGAAAAAATTAAAAATATTTGACATTTTCGAGACCAAATAATTTGACAATAAATCAAATCAGCTGCTCTACTGATACTACCTGTTCAATGTACCTTGGATCACAGTATACAGTAATCCAGATAGGCAAAACAAAAAATGTATATATGCTTATTTGACAATTTATTTGAATGTATTGATTGATATTTTTTCACAGTTGTCGTTTTCTTTAACCCAAATGAAATGAATTTCAATATTTTCTTATAGTGAAAAATATTATATAAATGACTATAAAATTCACGACTTTCAACTATTTTGTTAGAAATTTTTTTCCCAGAGTGCATATGGTTTTCTAAATTTTCAAATGCAACGCGCAAGTACTTAGAGTTATCATATTCGAATAAAATTTTGCACAGCTTATTTTTAGACCAAAACACATCTTTTTCCGCCCGGCAAACCAAATTTTAATTTTAACGAACGGTCTAATATACACATGTAACCATAAGTGGGCGTGGCTACGCCCATTTTCCAAAAATTTATAATATTCTTATTTTTTGTCTAAAAATTATTGTAAACATCAATTTTGTGTTAATAATCTTCAGTGGTTACTAAAATATCGCAGTTTTCGTATTTCTGAAAATTACCGTTATATGGGAGGTAGGCGTGGTTATTGTCCGATTTTGCCCTCCGTCCCACGCCCGAAAGAAGTACACGCACCAAGTTTCGTTAAGATATCTTAATTTTTACTCGAGTTATCGTGTGCACAGACGGACGGACGGACGGACGGACAGACAGTCACCGCTTAATCGATTTCTCTTTTCATCCTGATCATTTATGTATACATTTGTCTATATCTATCTCGATTCGTTTTGCCTGTTACAAACAACCGTTATGTGAACAAAGTTATAATACCCTTGTGCACAAGTGCGCTCGGGTATAAAAATCACACTGAAAGAGAAATGCTGGTTGCATAGGGAGTAGATCAACATATTTGTTGTTATTTAGACTATCATCAGCGGCAATGATTTTGTGTTTAGCAATGTTATTAGGCTTTGTAGGTACCACGATTTGTTTGTTAGGAAAAATGGAAAAAAACAACAAATCTAAGCAGTAGAAGTTATAGCTGCTATTTCGGAGATCAGCACATCTCCTCATCAGGCTTCTTTTTCTAGACTTCAGCAGGAATTGAACCCGCCTGACTTTTATTTTTAAGTTTTATTCAAAAAAATGAACTTCATTAGTTATTTTTTGTGTTTTATTTATTGCTCGAATAATAATTGTTATTTTTTAATTTTTCACTTTTATTTTTTGCTCAAAAAATTAAACTTAATTTTTTTTATAAAATTCTGGCACATTACATAACCAGCAGCACATACCTTAATCCACATTTCGAACTTCGTACAAAATTATAAAAATTCAACAAACTTTAACAATTAAACCCAAAACTTTTAAACTTTTTATTACAAATTTTCTAAAAAATTTAAGGTATGCAGTTTTATAGCCCATTAAATTTTTGTATGTCAAAGTGCAAATTTTAAAACTCTAGAAAATCACGTTGATTTTTAATAATTTTTTTTGGCTGACGGTGCTACGCATTTGCCCCCTTTTACAATATTTGTATAGAAGAATAATGCTGGATTTACATGGTATGAATCAGTTCATATGCAGTATGAACTTTTCCATAAAAGAGCCACCAACTTTATATAGAAAAGAGTGAGAACGATATATTTATTTCCTATAACTTTGACGTAGACATTTCTTTAGCAATAAACAAATAAAGAACAAAAATTGTCTTTAATGCACAAAATATTCCATATTTTTTGAAATGGATATAATGGGCTTTGAATGTGATGATATCTTAGATGTTGTATACAAAAAAAACATTAAGGAAACGTTCCTGTTGGGTACGAAAGTATTACGAAGAACGGAATATAAGCGGAGGTTTCGTGGTTCAGTTCCAACAACTAAAAATGAAGGATCCAGTACTTTTCCAACAATATTGCCGTATGGGTTGCTCTGAGTTTGAAGAGTTATTGAAAGTCGTTGGCCCTTTAATTAAAAAACAGCATTTTATCCGTGAACCGATTCCTACAGAACTACGCTTAATTATTACCCTCAGGTAAGTAGGTACTCAAGTAGGAAAGTGAGCTCTCTTATATCCAAGCTTTTGTTTTAAGATATTTAGCAACGGGAGAGTCTCAACGAAGCCTTGGAAGCTGCTACAAGTGTTCACCATCAGTAGTTTGCAAAATAATTGTCGAAACTGTTGAAAAACTATCGCAAGCACTTTACCCCGAGGTTTTTCCACATATTTCTATGGAAACATTTTTAGGCGTAGCACAGCAGTTCGAAGCCAAGTGGCAGTTTCCTAACTGTATTGGTGCACTTGACGGAAAGCATATTCAAATAAAGGTGGGCGAAGATATGTTGTTAAAACAAATATGTTATTAATCTTCAAATTAACATTTATATATATATAAACTAAGGCGCCACCAAATTCAGGAACCACTTTCTTTAATTATAAAAAATCAAACTCGTTGATTCTAATGGTTATAGCTGATGCAGACTACAAATTTACAATGTGTGAGATTGGTGCGTCTGGTCGAGAAAGCGATAATGGGGCATTTGCAAGATGCAAGTTTGGACAAATGTTTTATCATTTTATAATAAAACACACGGATATTTTTAGAAAAAAAAAACATATTCTCTTTTTTCTATTAGAGGTTTTATTGTTAAGTCTGTGAAAGAAGATACATATTTACATATTTCTGTAAGTACTGTAGTTCAAAATCCACAATATTTTAGTTACACATAAATACAATCGTCATCATAAATTTGCATACCCGGATTCATTAAAAAAAAAATTCAAAACGACTTCCACGGTACATTGTTTTTTAGTATTTTTAATAAGACTATAGTTATATAGTATATATAAAAAATCAGGCCATGTAAAAGTTTCAGATAGTTCAAATATTCTGTTGATTTTAGAGAATTTGTTTTTGCGAGGGTGTTGTGTGCATTTTCTTCCATGCAAAAAAAAACTACCTGAAACTTGTATCTTATTGCACTAAAATTTAATGGGCTACAAAACTACATACCTTGTTTTTTATAAGTCTGATTAAAGTGTTTGAAATTTTGATGAAAAGTTTTTAGAATTTGAAAAATTATTGTTAATTCTGTCATAGTATAAAATATTATTAATTTATGTTTTGATATTCGCTTAGTTCTTCGTCAATAACTGACATGATGCGCATTTTTATTTTTCTAAATAGGAGGCCTGGCAAGTTTTCAAGGTCTAATCCAACACTTTCACCAAACATTTGTGCTTGGCTCTTTTTAGTTCCCACATATCTCCTTTTGATATTAAGCTCTTCATTTTTTAAAACGATAATTTCTGAAAAAAAGAGATATGTTTACATATACATATTTTGTGGTAAAGGAGTTGCATAAAAATAAAAGAGGTAGAATGGTTGCTTACCTTTATCGTGGCTCATATTTTTGTTTGAAGTGCTTGGCCGTTCCTCCTCATGGTCATCTTCCATCCCCTCAGTAATTGCAGTTTGCCAAAGGCTCGTGGATCTAAATAAGCATATTTACGGATAAAATAAGATCGCGTCCAGTAGGCCCTATTTTCTACTTGAACATAAAATCAACTGGGAAATCGGGACTCACTTAACGTGATCAAATTAATATAAATATCTACATATTGTCGTTTAAAGTACAAAACCGCGTATCAACAAAATGCAAAACCGCGTATGTGAGGTTGCATAAATTATTTTCTAGAAAGTAAAAACACTCATATCTCAAAATGGTTCTCTTTTTTATAAAGCAAAACGACGATATATGTATACGTAAATAGGTATTTTTTTGAAAGGGGACATCGCTGGATAGTCCAGCACGTTTAAGTTTTTTGTTATTTGCACTACCAATCCAAAAGAGTTTTATGGAAGAGTTGAAGACTTGCTGGACTATAAGTTTTTTGAGCAAAAATGTCAGTACGACGTCCACTTTAAGAAATATACGTAATCATTATATTTTTCTCTTGCAA